GTCAGTCTAATTGATGGTTTAGCGACACAATCATGCATGCAAATAATCAGTATAAGCAGTCGAGCAAATCTCCTGCAAACTGAAAACATCAATGTCGAATTTACCCCAACACTGACTAAGGTTCAAGCCATTATCATAGACATGAGTTGGGAGTGTACTCCCCTGGTTACAACTTATGTTCTCCCTGATAATCACATGAGCATCACTCACTATTAATCATCTTGTAAAAACTTATTTAGCTAAATACATCTTGCAGCACCACATCACTTCGTAATATGACATAGGCTTAACTGATTTTAATAACTTATAACCACTATATCTCAATTAAATCGTATTCCGCCTTATGATAAACTGCATACTTGCAACTAACTTGTATGCCCAATCAGCCGGCAAGTATAAATATAAATAAATAGTCTGCCGCAGATCAGAACATTGAGTCTAGAGCATGTCTCTTACGAATACACTCATGTTTAACGATTTGTTCCTAGCTATCTGTCCAAAATTCATATAATTATCACTCATGTATTTAAATTTTGTTTTGATAACCATTCATGTGTATTAGTAGTATTACTAAATTCTATCACGGTCAAGTAAAAATGAGGTTGAGAAAATCTCCCCGTAACTAAATAAACCGTATCAAACTAACTGGAACACTAGTTGGAATTCTTCTCCACGGTATACTTTTGTTCCTTCAGTTAGCCTACTAATACAGATGCAATTGGAATTCAACTCATATGGACAACTTACCGGCATAATCGTTATTTGATTTCATAATTTAAACCAAAACTAATACCAATATTAACATTTCTACAATATTCATTACTTTAATATTTCTAAACACAAAATACTTACTACCTATACGTTAAGTTATTAACCAACGGCTATTAACACGCATCGTTTTATTATTATTATTATTGTAACCCCATTTTTTATAGCTCAAATAATCTTCACCCAAATTTTCATTTCAAGCGTTTTAAGCATGAAGGCAGATATTTTAAAATTATTACATGTATTTCCCGACCAGATGCTGCCGCTTTCTTTTTGATTTATCTTTCAGCTTACCAATACCCGGAGGATTCTTATTATCCTTGGTAACCTCCGGCGCGCGACGATCCCATCCAATTTGGTATCGAACCAACATCACGTTGATTCTGGTGGGAGAGTAGTGTAGTGGCATTGGACAATAGCCACACAATCCACAAAGCTGTGAACACGAGACTACTCAGAAAATAGATATTCAATATTTAACGCGGAGAAATACCTAACAATGGAGAAGGCGCGAACAATGAATTGAATGGACTGGAGTTGATCGATGGCATGGCTCGGCCATGCAGGCGTGGTCCATCTGAATGTTACCTTATATCTTCTATTCATATTAAATATATTGTTCTTTCTCTAGCCTAACCTTGTTCTACATCATGTATTGGTAATTGATACGATACAGTGAGTTGGTGTAGTCGATGGTGTGACTTCCACGTAAGATCTTATAGATTAGGCAGTTATATCATGACAAATCTACAAATTTAGGATTAGGTCTATTATTAGAGCAGTACTAATATCATAGTAGACCATAGTTCTACAGGTCCATTGAAGGTGGGAGCTTCTAAATGTCGTAACCTTATGTCCCTTTGGAATGTCTAAGGCTTTGAGGATAGTGCAGGATAAAATCTTTCGTTCCTTATCACAAGGGGGCTGAAAGAGGGAGCAAGTAAAAGAAAACACGAGGGGCAGAGTAGCCAACATTCATGAAGGAATGTTCAAGGTATGATTACTCAGTCTAATTTTCTTTTATTAAGGTATTTGTTTAAGAAAGAGCATTTTAATAGGTTAAAGAAAATAAGTGTTAACAAGGTGTGAGTGGACATACAACTGACAAATGGAGGCGATTCGGAAAGGAGCTGAAAGTATGGGATAATGTGTGATTATAAAATAAAATCTAGTGCTAGAAACAGTATTGTGATATACAATTGGCTATCTTCCTTTTATTACCGAAGCTATTAGAGCCCCTTCCGTTTTTTTGTATTATTATTTTTTTCAGGCATTATAGGGTCTTGAGAGTATAGGGGCGTATGAACGTAATGCGCATATTCACTCTCTTCATTCTCGCACGCAACTCATGCTTTCTAATTTGAACCAAGATTCAGTAGAATATCAGCTGGGATTCAGAAACGAAAAGGGCTCTGCTAGAATAATTGCAAGGCTTCATGGGTAGGTGTGCTGAAACATGGACACAAGCACACTCTTTATCTAAATAATTAGACTCCAAACTTGCTCCGAAAGTGGGGCGGGGAAACAATCAAGCAATACTGAAATGGAGGTTCAGTTGAAAGATATGAATTGCGCCTATCAGAAGGAATACATGGTAGGTGATCATTCGAGGCCTTAGTATATTGTTGCAATCGGTTTAGGTCATACGGTTAAGGGTTTTATTCAGATATGCCACAGCCTGACTTCAAATCTACGAATCTTCTTTGGGTAGGTTATTGAAGTTTGAGATCAGTGAGTACGAAGATACGTTCAGACTATAAACAGATGGATCGGAGCTTATAATTCCTAGGCTTACGAGTTATCGGATTTGAGATTTCCTATGAAGAGTTTGATCGTGTTTGATTGTGATTACCTAACTAATTACCTTCAACCTGTGGTGTCTGTACCGACATCATAAGTCTCAGCAACAATGCTTCGGAGCTTGACAACGCTTTAACCACGAACACCTAATGTGACTCGTACCCACCAAGTGAAATCAAGACAGAAGTGAGGAGGTTTGAAGATACATTTGATAGACTATCAATATATCGAGGATCGTTTTATCTTATCTGGCTAGCGATTGCAGGGGATGTTGAGCACGCATTCCCACTCGTGATCTGATGCGAATGCATGATCGAGCACCTTCAGCTAGGTGAGTTGACTAAAACTAATGTGGTCAGCATCGAATGCTGAAGACTTACAGAGCTATTTATTTTGAGGATTTATTTACCGCTCCATGTTGGTTTGTCTTCTAGAAGTTTCTACCACCGAACTCCTAAAAGCATAATGCACACGTTAACTACTTGAATTCGCATCTCTTTGATTTTCGGCTCCAACTCGTAGTGTTGTTGAATTACATACCTACATTTCGACGGAAGGATTTTCGGACTTTGCTCAAACACCAGAATCTCATTTATTTTATAGTTTAAATACTCTCATATTAAGCTCGTTTTTTATTTACTCCTAAAGATGGCAAATAGGTCATAAATTAGGATGATAATATCAAAATTTGAATACAATATACAGACAACATATTAGTCAAAAAGGGTTAATCAGAAAGCAATTAGAGTTTGATCAACAAAATGTTTACCGACATAAAATTCACATTAAAAATGGGATATGACAACAAACCTGAATCCATCGGTAACCAGAAGTAATCCAATCACACCCGAGACCCATTTTAATTGAAAGCCAAGCTTTACTGATCTGGCACTTAATTAAAGCATCATCGACCCGATGACGTGAAAGTCAACTCTTGCACAAACTCTATTCATTGGAGTGTAGGGATACCGAATTGTTGTTATTAAACGGAGGAAGAAAGGAAACACCTGCTATATGTATTTCAGAGGAGTGACTACTCAAATTTTCAACAAAAAGTTTCTATCAAACCGATAGCCAGGTAGAAAATTAGTGGTAGATTTCATCGAATGAATTATTTCGCACTTCAATAAAATCACCTCACAGGTTGTAAACAGGTTGTTACTGGTGCTGGACTACGGTGTAACTCATAGATTCATGAAATTTATCCGACTAGTTTTATGTAGGCTGAAGAAGATATATATATATTATCTACAAGGAAAATTGTGACAACTTTGAAGAGCACCACATAAGACAAGTTGACCGCCTCCTTCATACACGTTTACAAAAACCCTTTGTAGAGCAAGTGACATGTCACTGGGCCAAACCATCCGACAGTCGGGTCACTGAGTGTCGAGCTGTTTACTGATCCTTGTCGAGGTCCAGGTTAACTAGCAAGCATCTTTCGTGCCTTAAGGTAACCCCGTGCTATTGACAGAAGAAACCAGACAATTAGTGAATAGGTCTTTATTTCGATCTTTGCGCAGTCACAGTGGAGCGTGGGATTGTCTGTTCAGACAAACAAAGGCTCTCAACATTCAATATAAGATAATAGGGAATATAACGCTTATAAAAAATAAGGAAGTGAATGAATACTTGAACAATACTGTTTTGGCATATGCTTGGTTGTTTTGGGTCGACTCTTAACCAACCAACCTAAGCTGTTACACATCAATCAATCGCACAGCATGGACTGGCTAATGAGGCAGTGCTCTCACCCCGCTCCTTGTACTTGCTCTTACTAGTACATTCCTGCAATATTGTTATGTTCGTTCTACACGGTTATCAAAGTAGCCACAGTATATTGATACGGCGAAAAGGTAGAAAACGTCATGTAAAAACCGCGGAGTAAGCTGGTTTGCCACGTCATTTCCATTCAACTGAAATGGGCCTCAATCGACGACACAGATCAACTATGTTGATGGTCAACGACTAGCTAACCATTGATTATATAGATGGACTTCTAGGCCGTAACATTTGGTGAATATCTAACCATGCGAGCTGACGAACGTTTTTCGTGCTGACACCTTAAGAATACGACTAAATGCTGTATTTTTCATCTATATACCATTATTACTTGACTTATTACCATGAATGTTAACGGCAAATATTCTTGATTACAAATACTTTGAAGCATTGGAGTTATCGCGAGCTAATTAAAGTTTACTTAGGCGTTTTGATAGTGGTTTTAAAACAGATTATAGTGTCTCCACCTGCAATATTCCAGCTTGCACGTGAAGATCACTAATGTAACTTTCCTAGGCTGATTCTTTATTATCTGTACACTACAACCCGATACGCCTGCAATAATGAGGGTATAATACTAGATAAAAGTTCTATCACAATATTCAAGCTAACATAATTAGTCTTCATGTGATTCTGAAACTTGTACTAATACGGCGGACTTTTGAGTCCCCAGCATGCGTGGGTATTTGAAGTTTAGGGACTGTCAAAGTTGTGCAGTTTTGTTGATTGGTACGTGTACGTGTACGTGAGATCGTTCGAAATGAAGACTTGCCTTTTGTACTGTAGTTACTTAAAGTTTTCAGCATTCCTCACTGACATACCTCATATTTTTTAACATTTTCCAAATAAATACTGGGTTATCAAAGCATAAGAATCATCTCCATGAAACCATAATTTATGGACGACATTTGAACGACCCTAAGCTCATATTAAGAGTACCCATCTAATAACTAGGATCAAATGAGGTTTATAAATCAACTCTAACTAGATTGTGGTGATGCAAATCAATAAGAGACGACTCATATAGTTAGACAATGTGTTGTGACCAAAATCAATGGACTATGAAGATTAAAGAGTCGCAATAAGCAACGACCTCAAAACTACGAGTAAATGCAAGACTGCCGCCGCTAAAGGCTTTATAGTCACATGTGCTGTTATGTTATTTCATTGCTTGGATGAAGAATATTTAGAGTTGTATACCCGACTTTTATGAGACTGCATTCGGAGTATGGGATCCACGCAACGAGTCCTTTTTCAATTATGGATCAGATATGCTAAGATCAGTCCAACGGCGTGGGACCAAAATAGCAAAAGATCTCTGGTCTGTCTTATATAGACACACTGAGATGGCCCAACCTGTTACCGTTATCATACTTCAGATAAAGGGGTGATCTAATACTGGCTTATCGTTTAATGAGTGATCTTCGTATTATTATTGTCTTATCTTGTCCTTCCATCTAGGACCGATCATCTGAAAGGACATGCTAAGAAAGTTCAAAACCGAGATCGAATAATTTACGTCCGGAGTTCGGTTTCTCGCTCCGAGTAGTGAATTGCTTCAATTCTCTACCAGAACACGTAGTGACAGCACCTCCTGTTGATACATTGAAAGCGAGATTACACCTTCACCATGCTACAAACCAAAAGGATTAACATAGGTAGACAAACTTCCCGACTACTTGACTGAAAATATTGAGTTGTCGTTAGCAGCGTACATATTAAGTATGCCTGTCCACTTACAACTACATTTCAAGTATATACCCTTGGTTGGTAATGACAGGAGAACGTGCTTATTGTGTGAAAAAACCCAGGTAGCCTCGAAAGATTAGGGTCCACTAGGATTTTATCGTTTACTGTACTAGTGAAGAAAATCAGTTTTTTTTTTTAATAAAAATAATCGTATCATTCATCTTTGGGTGGTACCGAAGATGAATTTTACAAACACTTGGATCTCATTTCAGTCCGATTGTCTTGACGGATATTGTTAACATTGACTACAGCAATTAAATACATAACTGAGTTAGATCCAAGGCTAATTATCATTCAACTAAGGAACGCCCCCAAATGCCCTGGTACGGTCTAGAGTGGAGAGAGTCCGCTCTCCCTCTCGAAATGCTTTCACACGGCCACGCGTATATAGCCGCTGCCAGGGAGGTCCTACTCACTGCCTTCTCGTGGCAGGGGTGTTGTTTACGAAAATAAAAGGACGAAAAGCGAATGTCCGGCGCTTTAACCGGATTCCAAACCAATGGTGCACATGGGCTGGCTCCAGTATCCTGCGGGAATAAATGGCGTATGAACCAATCGTTGGTCACCGGCTTCCATGGGACTGCATCTCCTTACGATGCTCCATTGCCTTGTGTATCAGACTTTCAGGTCGAAGGCTCGGGGTGTGGCTCCCTAAGAAAACCGCCTGCTTCGTTTTGGGCACCCGGGCAGTATCACAGCCCTCACACATATCGAATGAGATTTGTGTGGCGCATATGTATTTAGTGCCTTCTTGTACCAATATCTATGTGTTGAAATAAACGAATAAATAACAACTAAGGAACGGAGACAATCAGTTGCTGGGTAGAAATAAAATATATGGTTGGGCCCAAGTGCACTGGATCATGTCGCACATCATATCAGTACAGAGAAGATTGATGGGATAACAAACGAGAATGTAAACTTAATAATTCGGATGTTGGTTTAAACTATATATCTTTTTTTGATGATGGCTTGGATTAATTGAACTAGGCCTCAGAGATATTCAAAATATGCCTACTGGATTCTTGGGGATTGATGAAAAAAGTAGGAGCAACTATGTTTTCTTTCAGAATTGGACAAATTTTTGTTAATTTGTCAGACTGATGAAGCTTTTTAGCTTGTACATAACTGGATCGAAAGGAATGACGTCTTAACCATATTATGCAAACGTTACATCTATCGCTTTGTTTAAAGTTACGAAGAAAACCGATTTTTTACCAAGTCTTTTTCAGTATTCTGTATTCGATAATCCTTTTTTAAAGAAATGTAGAATGTTTTGCGTACATTGGTTTGCCTATAGACTTTCATTTTTCTATCTTTAATCATTTCATGATAATTTTTTCCTTATTGTATAGAAGACATTATGCAAAAGATATTTGTGAATAGTTACATAAACTTGTATGGTGTTTTCGGTAACTAGGATTTTCTCGCTAACAAGAACGCAAATTTGATGCAATAGTGCTTTATGCCTGCGCGATCGATCTGGTTTTTAACTCGGATTCGACAATATGAAATGTGATGAGTCTATAAACCAGACGTACCACTTGGCGGCTTGGTCATGGAATCGATTATTTAGATCGGTTATAGTGGAATTGGTCGCCACTGTATTATGTATATACTTCATTTTCCGTTTCGCTGCTTTGTATGAGTCTGAGACTACACTTATGTCTAAGTTGATCAGTACTCTTCAACAATTATCAAATTCTTTAGACGACCATGTAAGTTAAAAACCCATATTTCAGCTGGTATTTGTCGTCATTATATTGACTGAGGAGTACCAAACACATTTTGATTCTGAAATAAACTAAAACTGCAAGCTCCAGACTATTGGATTTTGGTTGCTCATCAGTAATATGTCTGTCATGAAGCTTGAATGTCTTGTGTTCGATTTCAGAGTATTGTCATAGGCTAAAACGAAGCACTAAGATAGCGTTAATTGATCTAATATAGCCCTCGACTTTTTATTTAAAGTTAATGTAATGTATCAAACATATTAAAGTGACCAATAAATGTAGCTTTAGCTTTAGTTTGGAAACGCTCCTAAATGCCCTGGTACGGTCGAGAGTAGGGAGAGTCAGCTCTCCCTCTAGAAATGCCCTCACATGGCCACGTGAATACCACTACCAGGGAAGTCCTACTCATTACCTTTTCGCGGCATTACTGTTGTTTACGAAATTCAAAGGACGAAAAGCAAATTTCTGGTTCTTTAACTTGGTTGGTGAGTACGGAAGATCCACCTAGAGGAGTCGGAAAACCCTGATTCCTAACCAATGGTGCACATGGGCCCCAGGATCTTAAGGAAACAAATGGCATATAAATCTATTGTTTGTCGCCGGCTATCATGGGACTGTATCTCCTTGGGCTAACCCACTGCCTTGTGGATTAAACCTTTGGGTCAAAGACTCTGGGAGTGGCCCCCTAAGAAAATCATATGCTTCGATTTAGGCACGCAGGAAGTATCATTGTCCTCGCACATATCGAACGATTTGTGTGGCATATATCTATTTGGTGCCTCCTTGTACCATTATTTGTGTGTTTAAATAAATAAATAAAGTTTGGAAGCAGTTACATGAAATGAAAAACTAATAGGTGCTTCTGTAGAGCTCCAACACACCATGGATTGTTGTTCTCCGCCAACAGACGTTCAACAGCTTGTTGTACGTTTTAACTCTGTAACATGTATTTTGTCGTTTTGATCGCAAACATTAGTGGTGACGATCTATAAAAGCTGTTGGTTGTGAAATATCTATTTGTATCAAATATTACGCCGAATAGTATTTAAGCTCCTAGTGTATTCAACAGAACTGATGTAACTAGTAATTTTTATAATAAAGAAAATTAACTAGGGCCTAAGATTCTATGTTTTCATACAAGTGAAAAGTGCCACCATTTGCTAAGCCATTCTGTGTTGATAAAGAAATCATCCTCGAAAGTCTCGTATCCTTATTGATATTCGTAACCGTTTCTCAGGAAATATACTATTTTAATATTCGCTTATACAGCATATTTTTAATAAAGTAATGATACTACAAAACAAACATTGACACTAAGTAACAACGAAGCAACTAAAATGCTGTAACGATATTATGGAGAAGTAAAGGATAAGACAATACATGGTTGAGAAAAGTAATTACTTTGGACATATTAAAATTTTTTCTCATGTTTTACAGTTATTAAGTCCAAAAGAATAAAAATTCGCAACAAACTAATCATCAGTTTTAAACTGAAAGTTGGTCGAGTATAGCTTATACTGTTTTGTCTCTTACCATAAAGAAATTAATCGTTAGATGGATGAAGTCAGTAGAAAGGAAGTCCTGAGCTTAGGTTTCATGTTATTTGGCACTCGTCAGCAAAGTGTATTTGCAGGCTTGTGATAACTGGTGTTTCCCATAGGATGTCAACCCTCACCTTTCTGGGTAACAGGGACGTTGTCAGTAGGCTATTCTAGTTGTGACATGTAGACGCTGCATATAATGTTGAGTCATTTAGACTTGCAACCATATTGGAACTTCGTCGACAGAATGCAATCAGGACCATGGACTATATAAACATGATATTCGTTATAATTCAGTAATCAATCACTGAAAACCAGAATTACATGACATACTGTCATTGATGCTTGCATCACAGGTTCAATCTGTTGAAAGCCCTTAGCAAACTTCGCATTAATGTAAATATATTTAGTATAATTCATGCATAGTATCTTCTGTTTTTATAACCATTTCTCATTCAAGCAATAACTAAGGGTAGTTGTGTTTCATTAACTTATAAAAATATCCAGTTCATAACTTTACTCTTACCATACGTTTCTGAAATGAAGTTTTGTGTCTCAGATGATTTTTGGGCCTATTGTATTCTCTTTGCCAAGTGGCTTTTCTACAACCTCTCACTGTTCACCTCAACAACGCCATCAGAATTTGCTTCACGTGCAATTAAACTGTTAACAATTTCATAAGAGCTAAATTCGTCTGTTTTGATGGACTTGTTTGTTAATAATTATCTGTTAAGGTTTTGCCAGCTTCATTTGTCTTTTTGTCTTTGTTAACTGTTTTGGTCGATTGACCCCTTGCCAAACAATTAGTTGATCGCTTTTAAATAGGTTGGCAAATAAAATCGATTTTGATTGACCTACCGATTGCAGACTGACCTGAGTCCCATGTTCTCGGAAATTTCCTTTGAATTTCCTCGATCAAGAGTTTAGTGTTTTTCTAAACAAATTCGTGCCCTTGGTTGTCTCTGTGTACATATATAAGTGATGATATTTCATGGAGTATTAGTGCTAGTTTATGTTCTGGTATGAGTATATAAAAGAGTTACCCACTTTATCCAAAATAATACTTGTTGCAATTAATGGAATCTATTCGTCGATAATGTCATTTATTTTCGTTCCCTGTTTTGTCTTTCAGTCTGTATAAAATGAGATAATCAACTTCTGTTGGTTCGTGAGCCACTTTGTATCCGAAGGGCTTGAAGGTCATTTTGGTGACTTCTGAAATGTTAATCCCATGTTATAGGACAATTTGTTTTCTGGTTTATGAGAATAATTTTGTGCGCTGATGTGTTCACTTGCTAGACAATTTTTGATGAATCTTTCACGATGACCATTTTTACTTGAGATAAATAGAAGGCAGTCTGTAAATCTGTGCATTGGATTGGAAAATTTTTTTAGAACAGATCATTGAGTTCTCCCAAACGTTACCACTCCAGAGATAACCGTCCGTACATAAGGTCATCAAAAAAAGAGTATTTAGCACCTTTGGAATAATTGAACGGCTCACTTGTACATGAACTAAGCGCTGAGGGTTTTACCTAAACGACAATGAAAGTTTCACTAGAAAATAACTTAACCCAGAGGACGGAACAAAGCTTATGTACTCGTTCACAAACCAGATAATAATATTTTAGACGTACTCTTTTCTTCGAGAAATAACCTGGGTTTACATCATTATTTTTAATTGTCTCTTGCATGTAATAATTTGTCTTTTTATTGAAAACTACAGATAATGTTGCAAATGGAACTTCATTCAAAACTGAAGAGGACAAACTTGCCACCTGATAAAGTTACTATTCCAGTTTTAGTGATAGCTTGTAATCGTCCAACTGCTAGTCGTCCTATTGATAAACTATTACAGTTAAAATCCGAAATGCTGAAGCAAAACAATTTTGAATTTCCGATTTTCGTTTCACACGCTTGTGATGACCATGCTACTGAAAAAGTTTTACGTTCCTATCAGGATAGCATTACTGTCATAAAACCAAAAGCCCCGTTAATTAATCCAGGTAGAAATTTTAATTTACAATGTATTATTTAATATTTCATGGTTGTCTGCCCCGACCAAGTGTATTCGAGTGAAAAGCCTTCATTAATTTGGTCTACTTTGGTGGATCTTTTAAAGATGGACTTGGGTTCAAAGTCTCTTGATTGATGAAGTCGAAGGTAACCTTTGCGTCGAAGAATACAACTACAATAAGACGCCGAATATATCTATATTCCAATACCTATTGAACGATTAATATTTAGTTGACGCATCCACAACTGGTTCCGAAATTCGCCTAATTTTCTCCTGTTCTCTGTTCCCAAGCTCAAGTTAACGTATGATAGATAGGACAATATAACCCTTGTTCTTAGTTGCTTCTAGATTGAGATCTCAGAGATGATTTAAATCAGTGGCTTATAATTCTAGGTCATACGACTGTAAATCAATAACAACTGAACAAAACTATTTAGTTCCTCCTTCTGATATATTTTAGTTGGTACCAATTTTGTTTCTTCATGCATTTGCAAAGTATGATACCTTAAATCGACATGCTTCTATGAGGTCCTCCCTCGTCTGTGTATAGGTTCCTTCTAGCTAATCCTGATAGATTAAGCCTTTCATTCATTTAGTTACTGTACCGTGAAGCGTTTGGGAACTTCAACTAATTTTTTTTCAAAATTAGGAGCTGAATAGTGCTATATATCTTCGTGTTGTATGTTAATCAAATTATGCTTTGTGATTGCGAATGAGACTGTTCATTGTGTTATTTTCTTGATTACTGTGATGTTGATTGAAAAAGATTTATGATTAGCGTTTGTGTGTAAGCAGGTCATAGATTGGATTAATGCATATTCCATTCAAGATGACGTTGGAGCACGCTGATTGGCCTATTTCTAACCAAACAGTCAAGTATAGTCATGGTTTAATCATATTCTTATTTCCTCATATATATACCGGTAGACGAAACTGTACTGTATTAGCCTGTAAAACTTTTGACTTGTAGTAAACTTCATTTATCCACCACATGTTTCCAAATGTCGTTTAAAAATATTGCTTTGTCTTTGTGTAACTAAGACTGGTCGTTTAATTAATCAGAACCCGAATTTGATTATTGAAAATCTTTGCACAATCATATCATCATTTGGTTTGTAGGATGACTTAAGTCTTCTGTTTCTTGATTTTCCTTCATTCCATTTATAGTTCAAAGCTCTTCTCTTAAAGTATTTGAAGGTTACAGACATGTTAGCCATCATTATAAATGGGCTTTAGATCAAATTTTTATGGCACATAATTATTCGACTGTAATAATCGTAGAAGATGATCTGGATTTGGCTCCAGATTTTTTAAGTTATTTTGTTGGTGCATACAATCTTTTAACTCAGGATAATACACTTTTCTGTGCATCTGCCTTTAATGACAATGGGCGACTTCAGTTAATCGATATTACACGTCCCGAATTATTATACAGGTTAGTGGCTATTATTTTTGTTTATTTTTGTATATTCTAAATAAACTATAGGAAGTAATTTCCTACAGGTGTAATTTTAAACTATTATCTCGACTTCCGAGCACAGAGTCTTAACTTAGCCAAAGTCAGAACAAGTAAGCTATTTGGTTTGATAAAATTTATCTGTTTCTAAAATGTAAATTAACACTGTTAGTATACAAAATAAACAATTCAGTCTATTAAACAGGGAAAAGTAGAGAAATAAATAACATACCGAACAGTAACTAGAGGATAGGAAAAATGAGTCAACAAGCGAGTAGTTTTATAATGAACATAAAATTGTGATGAGTGTATATATATATATATATATATATATATATATATATATATATATATATATATATATATATATATATATATACTTAAACAGGAGTTCAGTTGTTCACAGAATAACCTTTGTTGCATAATATTCATGTGTAGCATCTATTTAAATTTTCAACTTTTTCCCATGCTTATCAAAACGATCTAGTTTTTGTTTTATGCAATAAGGTTTTTTAAAGGAAACGAATAAGTGTATAAATAATATATGTATATGCCGAGTTTCTAGCTGAAAAAATAATAACATTGAAGTAATGCACTTAATTTTATTTTCTCCCTCATTTATTGTGTTTGTATTTTACTCTTCTCACTATCAGAACTGATTTCTTTCCTGGTTTGGGTTGGATGTTATTGAGAAAATTTTGGCTAGAAATCCGTAAAGGATGGCCCGATATATACTGGGATGAATATATGCGTAAATCTTACGTACGTAAAGGTCGAGCTTGTATTCGACCAGAAATTAGCCGTTCTATTACATTTGGACGAGAAGGTATATCTCATGGTCAATATTTTGATAGTCATTTAAAATATATTAAGTTAAGTAGTGCAAAAATCAATTTTCAACAGCTAGATTTATCATATTTGAAAGAAGATGTTTATCGTAATGAATTCAAACAACTAGTTTATGAAGATTCAGTGGAAATGAGCTTTAAACACTACATGAATAGTCGCAGTTCATTACCACACAATTCAAAATCTATTCGAATAACATATGAAACTCGAAAAGAATTTGAAGAAATTGCGAAAGCCTTAGGAATTATGTTTGATTTCAAATGTGGTGTAAGTCGTAATGCCTATATGGGTGTGGTACCAGTGTTTGTGAATGGTCATCGTTTGTATATTGCCCCACCTTCCAGTTGGTCAGGTTATAATGAATCATGGGTATAGCGAAAGTATTTTCTCACAAAATTACTTTATTAGGATGGAAAAAGCTCATTCGTTATTCTTTTCTTAGTAACTTATAAAATGTTTTCTACCGTTTCTTTCTACTTATTATTTACCTTACTTTTTTGTTCTTGCATAAGACCTTTGTTTCTAAAATGATGAAAATATGGGAAACACGAAGTATTCTGTATATTGTCCCAATTTCTGCACATGTATATTGCTATGGACACATGGAATTGTAAAATTTTCTGTCTTACATTATTTCAGTGCTCTTGCATTGTTTCTTTTTACTGGTAGATGTGTATGTATGTATTATTAAGTGATTAAATAGTTCCTTATGTTTTCTGAATTCTTTTGTATTTCTATGGATTGTCCACCTGTATTTTGATGAACAATATAAAATTCCTTACAATGATGTACATATTTATGTGATATTATTTGTTATTTTCTTGTATCATAAATGAAGTAAGTAAACGAATGTAAGTGATTAATTCTCACTGAGTAGATTTATTTTTAAAAAGTTTTTTCCCAGTGTAACCAAGAAAAAAGAAACTCAGAATATAACTATGTCGTTATTAACTATTTACACAATATATTATTTCATAATTGTACATTTTTATTCTTTTCTATTTGCCTTACCTTCTTGATAAAAAAAAGAATGTTCTACCATATATGTTTTCATGAATTCAAGATGAAGTAGATTTGTCAATTATTGTTTGGTTTGTTTATGTTTGTATTTCCTATGAAGAAGATAAAAAGTTGATATTGGATTTTTTGTTTTTCACCCACTGAACTCTTAAATTCCATTGCAACATAATGGTCTCTAATAATTAATGGCTAAGAGTGAATTATGAATTATAAGACGGTGCATTTTACGTTGAAGGTTATTTACATCGTTTTCAATATTCACGAAGAATATTATGTTAAACACCGTTATTTTTCTGTTCATTTAATGGATAAATATCACATATTAAATTCTGATTTTTACTAAAAATTACATTTCAGTCATTTAAAGTTATCATTTTAGCTGCTTGCCATGAGCAAATCATTTTAGCGACCCTCCTACATACAGGATAAAATACACAAATGTTTTAAAATTTCCAGTGTAAATTATGCTCATTTACCCACTGAATGAACAGAAAAACGACCACAAGTGCTGAGTATAACAAACTGAAAATTTTTTAGAAGTGTGTAGTTTAACTAGTCTCTCTGTTGTTGCCCTGGTACGGCCGAGAGTGGGAAGAGTTCGCTCTCGCTCTCGAAATGCTCTCACATGGCCACGCGTATATAGCCGCTGCCAGGGAAGTCCTACTCACTGCCTTCTCGTGGCAGGGGTGTTGTTTACGAAAATAAAAGGACGAAAAGCGAATGTCCGACGCTTTAACCAAATTCCAAACCAATGGTGCACATGGGCTGGTTCCAGTATCCCGCGGGAATAAATGGCGTATGAACCAATCGTTGGTCACCGGCTTCCATGGGACTGCATCTCCTTACGATGCTCCACTACCTTGTGTATCAGACTTCAGGTCGAAGGCTCGGGGTGTGACTCCTAAGAAAACCGCCTGCTTCGTTTTGGGCACCCGGGCAGTATCACAGCCCTCACACATATCGAATGAGATTTGTGTGGCGGCATATGTATTTGGTGCCTCCTTGTACCAATATCTATGTGTTAAAAGAAATAAATAAGTAAAATAAGATTTATACAATTTTATGTCTTCATTCTATTTATTGTTGAATAAAGGTACAGATACGTATACGATAACATTTGAAGTATACTTAGTCTTTTGTGAATTCATGGGACGACTTACATTTACCAGTCTAGTTTTATCACACATCAGCAAATTTCTGATTTTTCTTTAGGCTTCATTCTATCAATAACCTTTCCGGAAGTCTAGTTTTGTAAAACCGTTAACCCTTGTTCATTTTGACAACTATTATCAGGAATTTACGTTGGATGTCGCCGGTTATCTCATACCTCATTTAGACTATCTGAATAATCGGACATATTAGTTGTTTCATTTGATTTATTGACGATATAAAGAACGAAACTAATTCTAGATAGCTTATTATTTTATTAGTTTTTATCACAGGACGTTCGTAGGCACAGGTCATGAAAAGTTAGGACTTTCGTTGTGTTGCATTCTCTGAGCTGAACAATTTTTCTGCGAAACATTCGCTACTGTTCCGTACAACATCAGAACATACTTCAAGTAGAAGTAAGCTTCTTGACCATTCCACAAACTATAAATCCGTCCTTTGTGATCACTGTTTCCGACTGTCTGCCTTCACTCTTTCATTATCTTTATATTTCATTGTACTTTGATTGACTGTTTTGTTTTGTTGAACTGTGACCATGTAGTTGTTTGAGCTTCTTCAAACAGATTGATAAATTATGTTTTTATTGATGTGGTTGCTCATTTCAGATTGACCCGTATCATAACATTTTCTCAATGAAATTTGTATCGGGACCAGTGTTAATCCTAGTCTGCGAAATCCATCGGTTATTTATTGAGGTCACACTAAAATTAACATGACTTTCTACATCTTTTATTAATACAAACTACACTTCCCAAATCAGAAACATAAAAATGACCAGTTTAGTGAAATAATCCAGCTAAGAATTATTGATCTTAACACAGATATCTATTCTCAGTGTTCAAACAGTCCCGTATCGTGTTAAGGTGATTTATTACTTGGGATGGTTCCATTTCCATGTTCATTGCATCAGAAATTCGTCATTGATTTCTTAAATAAATGTTTAGCTAACCAGAATCCCATCATTTACGGTTCTCGAAATTCACTACTCACTAAACTTGACTTCTGCGTACAACTAATCACATTAGAGATTAATTACTTCGTTTTTCGGTCATCTCGATAACCGTTATAACATAAATTCTCAACGGTGTTTAAAATCAGAAGGCAATGAGAAGCGGCAACTACAGTTTATTAGGGGATAGTGCAGATCACAAAGCTATAAGCAGATCACGTGAATTTGAAGCGGAGAGGCGAATAATTATATGCGAGCAATTACATAGTCAAATTGCATAAGGGCGTAGCAAGGAATAATCATAGGATTTGAGTACATATATACATGGGGAAGAGAATGAATCACTGAGTGATATTTAAGCAATCAACTTTTTATTTAAAGTCTGTCGTGTGATCTAGTGATCATAACGGTACAAAGAAAATGCGGATTGTTACTCTTCAAATAACATTGTCTGTTAAGTTAATAAAAGGGTTTAACCATAATCGAAATTAGTTGTAGGATAGTTGCTATGATCATAAGTGAATGTTAAACTGAACGAACACTTGCAATGAAAAATAAAAAGAATCGATAGTTAATTGAAAGCCAAAAGCAATAATGAAACTAGTCATAAACAGAGTCTGCAGATATCACTGATAATGCATTATTAGATTTCTGACTGACGAATTAGAAGGTATTCTACACAGTATTTCGCTTGTGACAAACTCGATGATTTTACGACCGGTGTATACTATGTACCAGAAGTCTGTAAATTTGGCTTTAATAAACCCTGTGAGACTACTTCCTTCAAAACTATTCAGGAAATATTTTGTTGCACCTCAACAAGAACCCTTAACGTAAATCCTGCGTGCGTCAATTGTGCGAAAATATGTACAATGTATGTGCTTCACTTGTGGTGATAATCAATTTGGTTTTCGCCGAAAAAAGAAACAATGATGAACTTATAATTGAGTTTCCAAAATCATCATTTCTTATTATACCTAGAAGTACCAAGACTGTCATTCTTTTAATCCTATTCATTCAGATATATAGTGAACATTCTTTTGTTTCTGAAAAAAAGTGAATGACTGTACATTGTTTACATAAAGATAGATTACATTGTACATTTTTGTTAATTTTTTGGTCACATAATCTAGTTAAGTTATTCTTATGTATTTTATACTAATGTTCATTCAACCATAATGCATTCTGAATAATTTCTTACACAATATAAAAGAAACGTTTATACATCGGAATTAGGGATTCATTAATATTCTGTGTTTTTTTATGACTAACATTTTCTACCTCAAGCATAAATAATTACTTACTTACGCCTGTTACTCCTAATGGAGCATAGACCACCGATCAGCATTCTCCAACCCACTCTGTCCTGGGCCTTCTTTTCTAATTCCATCCAATTCTTGTTCATTTTTCTCATTTCCATAAATAATTAGGATACATCAAAGTTACATGGTTATTTTTTCAAAAGGAATGTGCTATTAAAAATAAACAAATAGCTTAGGTGTTTTCAAATCATTGATTAAAAGTTCAAGGTTTTAATTTATATTACAAAATTGATTCTTAAAAATCAATGGAACAATGTAAAGTTTAACATTCAGTATACTACAAATTGAGTTGTTTAGTTTATTATTTTCGCAAAAATGACATTTATTGACAAACAAAGTTCACCATAAAATGATCATATACAAACAATATTATTTCATTGTACAAACATCGGTCGATTTAATTTAATTATTTTACACTCAAATGAGAATATCAGTCGACAAATGTTACTTTAATAATTGAATTCATGAGTCAATTGAAGTTAGACTATCATAGAAAACCTGGAAGCACAGGACGGCCGTCTCATCCTAGTATGGAACTCCTCAACAGTGCGCATCCACGATCCCTCCCCGCACGAGACTCGAACCTAGGACCTGTCAGTCTCGCGCGCGAACGCCTAACCTGTAAACCACTGAGTCGGTATCCAACGGTGTTAGTGTCTAACTTCAACCAATCCACGAAATTGCGCCACTGTCCAACATTGGTATTAGTGAGTTACTATCTCACAATAGACCCGGTTGAACTCTACTGGTCATGGCTTCTCGCTAGAACTCCAGGAAATAACTCTTGAAAACAATCACTTTATTTACAGAATGATAAATTATCAATCAACTCGAAATTATTTGGATATTCTGATGAATGTGTGTCGGTAAGTAAATCTCTAGAATAAATAGTTCTGTAAGTCTTCAACACTTCATGCTAACCTCATTATTTTTGATAGACACATCTAGTAAAGGCGCTCTGTCATGCATATGCACCAGGTCACAAGTAGGTACACTGTGTTGCACATCTACAACTGTTAGCCAGCTTTGTTCGAATGCTTCTCTAAATATCGGTAGCCTTTCACATGTATATTCGAACCTCTTCACTTCTGATTTGACTGGGTTGTCATACTTCAATTATAAAGATTATAGCAACTCACGTACATTTGAGTTTGTTCACATTTAATTTGGTTAAACCCTCCTGTTAACTTAGTTAATGGACAGTCATTCGTACAATAACAACTCAGCTATGCCATTGTACATTTATTAATGTTGTGCTTGTATGAATGTGTGTGCTTGAGCATTGCTTACCGTCTACGCACATATTCATTCTGCTAACTTTAGTGTTAGTCGCTTAAATGATTCGATGACTCATTCATTTCCCTATGTATATGTACATGTACATTTTAATCTTATTAATTCGACTCGCACGCCCACTCACTCGCTCACTCGCTTGCTTTTCCGCATCAGCCTTTCATTCTTGCTTAGTGCATTATCATACTCAAGGTGGTTGATGGATAGTGAACAATTCCATTCAAATGATTGTTCAACGATGATCCGTAGTGTCGCAATTTGGTCTGTGCACAACCGATCGTTACGGAATTCGATCTGCTAATTTCGAAGTTGGGCTTCTACTGAATCCTTCATTTGGTTCAGCAACACTGTTGAAAACCTTTCCTAGTACAGATAGTGGTGTGATGCCTCTGCAGTTACCACATTTGTTCAGGTCTCCTTTCTTCAGTGTATTGATGAGGTGTCCTTTTTCCCAGTCTGTCGGTAGCACTTGTTCCTTGTCCCAAATCTTCCTGATTGGGTCATGGCGCATGTTCGCAGTCCGTGCTATGTTTCACTTCGGCACTTCAGCTGGTATATTGTCAGGTCCCGCTGTTTTCCAACTCGTAACTTGTCTGATGACCATCCTGATTCCTTCGAATGATGGTGGAGCGACATTGATGGGGAGGTCTGTAGGTGCTGCTTCGATGTCCGGTGGATCCAATGGAGCTGACCTATTCAAGAGCTC